GTTGGCCAGTTGTGGTCTGTGCGATATTAAGTATAAACCATCTATTATGTTTTATTGTTCTACTATAGTAATGATAATATTTAGAATAATATATTGAATTTAATAGGTGTCTCTCACATTGTCCCACAGCAACATTAAAATAGTGTAGATTAGTGTTCAATGTTTTATAATAATAATTAATTCTATTAAGTGTCCATTTCATTCATTTAACATATTTAATACTGGGGGCATCCAAGTTATTTGACATAGGCTGCGTCCGAAACCGCATACTCAATGAGTAGGTACTTAATTTCAATGAGTACTTACTTAACGAGCGCTAAAAGAGTAGGTACTTTATAGCCAAATCTCGTTGAGTATGAATGCGATCCGGACATCATCCGCCATGTTGACGTTATCATGTGACCTACGACGCGTTATCACAAGCGCAACAACTTAAAATATGAAGGACATGTTTAATTCATCTATCTGTAAATATCTTGATATTGATGAAACTTGCTCATTTTGTGGTAGTATTGTTGAAGAAACAGCTGCCAATTTATTTTGTGCATACATTTAGGGTTGATTTAAGTTGTTATATTTTAAACCCGACTAATGTGACCCACAGTTTTATCCTTATGACGATATTTTTTTCTTAAGAAACCCCAAAATCGTCATCTCTCGTTGTTAATTTCTTTATTTTATACCCAAAAAGTTTCTCCTTTAAGTTTTCCTCTTTTCTTGATGAATTTACCTCTCGTTTCATCCCTCAGACAACAACAAAACAATTTTTAATGTATTATGAAGAACTACCGTATTTAAAGATATTTAGCCTTGTTATTGTTCTTTTTTCCTGTGTATAAATATCATATTATGATGTACACAAACCAATGATCTTTATGTTTTCTGTTTTGTCATTATGATTGTTCATTGTTAGATACAATGGTATCTTTCCATGATCTTTTTCTTTATGTAATAAGTTTAAATTATATGAGTGACTGGTGCACTAACACTTCGTAACATCATCTCGACAGCACAACCTAGAACAGTTTTCCTCGGCGTTTGTAATGTCTGCACAAGGAGACGGGCCGATGCTCGAAGATCTCCTGTGGAGAAAACTGTTGATTTTATACTCGAAAAATGTAAGTATCGCTCCTTAAAAATATTAATATTAGCCTACCTCAGAATGAATTGCATTGTTAGCCCACCCCAAAACTTAAACAAAATAATATTAAATGCTGACCAATACTTAATTATATTACTTTTTTTATATACTAAAAATTATATAATTTAATAAAACAAGCAAAATGTAATTTGTTTTGTCATATGAGTTATTTGAATACACGCGAACATCTCAATTGTAAGTCAAGCAATGAATTAATTAAATAAATATATTTCATATACTGACAACAATAAGAAACATGAATAAATGAGTAAGATCAAATAAAAGTAACCATCACACAAAAAAACAAATGCATATACAATTCAACAACACATGAAACAAATCTTTATTCAAACTACAAGCATGTATTTACAGGCGCTGAGCCCCACATACTGCCATCTCAACACAGCGGTTCCCATTCTGCGGCTTTACTCTGATGAATTCACCAGAGGTGACCGTGCCTTCGTGCCGGAGCTTGTGCTACGCTTCACAGTCTGAGGCGATAAGGGCCGGTGGAGTGATGGAGGGACTCATCCATGGCACCGTTTCCAGGATTCAGCTCTGGGCTCCTCATCCTCAGTGCTCACACCAGTCTGAATAAAAACGTGTTTAGTTACTTTATAGATTTGTTTATTTACCTTATTTACAGCACATTTGTCTAATGTCAACAGTGTTGACAAAAGTGAATTAACGTTATCCTATAATAATGCCACACATACATCACTCAGATGTCTTTTTCATGTTGTGATGTGCTCATCTGCAATATGTCAATGCTTACAATATTTTCCTTTCAGATGTAAATAGACATTTTAAATAAGCATGTTTAAGATGTATATGGTTATGTAAATCCACTTTAGAGACGTTACGTGTGCTTAGAGCTCCCCTGTTAGCTAGCTATACAAAACATGTTTCTCCAGCAAAATCACAACTATACTATACTCTCTAACTACTTTACACCTTCAACAGTTAAAACGTTTACTCTGTAGTAGTTTAACACGAACCGTGTTTACTCACATTTGAAAAATCCCGCGTCGCTGATCTCCGCGATTGTTGATAATGACGTATGCTCTCGCGTGGCCTCCTGGGATAGATGAGTATCCATCGGTTGAGCACTCAAAAATCAGGGCTGAAGCAGTAAGGCATCCGGGAACTTCTCGCCTACTCTTTTATGAATACTGATGTTTCGAACATACTGCTTCCTTCACGTACTGTTTTCGCCTACTATAAAGTAGGAAAGTAGGCATATTCGAACGCACTTAACTCCGAATCTCGCGATAATTAGTACGTCACCCAGGTAATTCTTGCCTACTCTTTTATGATTCGTACATACTTTTCGCTCGCCTACTCTTTTTCCCATACTATATAGTAGGGAAGTATGCGGTTTCGGACGCAGCCATAAGTGTCATAATGTGGGTCTTGTGTCCTGTCATGTTTAGTGGTTCCCTGTCTTGTCATTAGTTTTCCCAGGTGTTTCCCATTTACCACGCCCCCTTGTTATCCTGTTAGCTCGTTGGTACTTGATTATTTAAGCCCTGTGTTTCTGCCCTGTCTTTGTGAGTTGTTATATGTTTCAGGATTAACGTGAGTGTTGGTTTCCCAGTGTAAAGATTCTTGTTCCACGTTCTGTGTCTCTGTTTGAATTATAGTTTGTTTAAATAAAGCGTGTAAACTGCGTTTGGATCCAGCCTCCTATCTGCCTTCACCGCACCACGTTACAGAACAACTCACCAAGACATGGATCCAGCAGTTGTCAGCAACCAGGCCCTCATAAGTTTCCTTGCCTCGATATTTCAGGAAGGCCAGTCCATCGAGAGGTACATGAGGGACTTTATGTCGTGCTGTCGTCTGGGGGCTTTAGACGACCTTGAGCTCATGGAACTGTTTTGGAGCGGGTTGGACGAGGACATTGCCGAGTTGATGCCGGATTACTGTACCAGCTGGACCCTGGAGGGGTTTGTCAACCTGGCCCTCTTCAGGAGCGGTTCATCATTTACTGTTGGCGTGGAGGAGAAGAAGCGGCGAGAGACCGCGCTTCACTTCAGCTCAGCCGAACCCGCGCTCCTAAAGCCCGCGCTTCACGTCTGCTCAGCCGAACCCGCGCTGCATGTCTGCTCCGCCAAACCCACTCTTCGTGTCGGACCCCTCGAGCCCGTATTCCGCACTGGTCCTGTTGATTTTGCTAATCCAGAAACCGCAGAAACCGCCAGCCGAACCGGAGTTTGAACGCGTGCCAGCCGGCGCGAACGAGTCAAGTGCCGCCGAGTCAAGTGAGTCGAGTGCCGCCGAGTCAAGTGAGTCAAGTGAGTCGAGTGCCGCCGAGTCAAGTGAGTCGAGTGCCGCCGAGTCAAGTGAGTCGAGTGCCGCCGAGTCAAGTGAGTCAAGTGCCGCCGAGTCAAGTTCCAAGTCAAGTGAGTCAAGTTCCAAGTCAAGTTCCAAGTCAAGTGAATCCAGCCAAGTGAAAGTTTCAAGCCCAGTGAAGCGCCGTCGCAGAAGGAGGAGGAGGACTCGTTTGGCTCGCCAGGCTCCGGAGGGCGTTCCCAGATGCCTCGCCCTGCCGGCCCCGCCTCTGCGCCTCGCCCTGCCTGCGCCCTTCAAGCTCCGGGTGGGCTTTCCTGAACCCGTGGATTTCCCCAAGTATTTTTTGGGGGGGGGCCAAGGGTCCGGTGAGGAGACCATGAGGGCTGCGCCGCCATGGTCGTCTGCAGGGGCTTCACCTCCATGGCCGCCATCACGTCCTGCTCCGCCCTGGCCGCCATCACGTCCTGCTCCGCCCTGGCCTTCGCCTCATCCTGCTCCGCCCTGGTCACCGGCCCAGTCTGGTCCGCCCACGCTCTGCGGCCCAGGCCCGCCTTGCCTAGTTCCTGGTCCCGTTCCCCTGCACGGGCCTGGCCCTCCATCCCTCCCCCTAGACCGCCTGTGCTTCACCGCCCTCCTGAACTTTTTTGGGGTTTTTTTTGTTTTGTTGGGCGTCAGGAGCCGCCCTTAAGGGGGTGGTTATGTCATAATGTGGGTCTTGTGTCCTGTCATGTTTAGTGGTTCCCTGTCTTGTCATTAGTTTTCCCAGGTGTTTCCCATTTACCACGCCCCCTTGTTATCCTGTTAGCTCGTTGGTACTTGATTATTTAAGCCCTGTGTTTCTGCCCTGTCTTTGTGAGTTGTTATATGTTTCAGGATTAACGTGAGTGTTGGTTTCCCAGTGTAAAGATTCTTGTTCCACGTTCTGTGTCTCTGTTTGAATTATAGTTTGTTTAAATAAAGCGTGTAAACTGTGTTTGGATCCAGCCTCCTATCTGCCTTCACGCACCACGTTACACATAGGCCTATTTGAACTTTTTTTTTTTAAAGTAACACAATAGTTACTTTCTCTGGTAATTAGTTACTTTTATAAGGATATTACGGTGGCCGAGAGGTGCAAAACAAATCACAATTATAAAAACAAAATAACAATTAAAAAAACACAACGACAATTCAGAAAACACAATAACAATTCAGAAAACACAATAACAATTCAGAAAACACAACATTTCAAAGAAAACGGAAAAGGTAGGTACATTTTGAGAATGGCAAACTTATCGCTGATTGGACGAGACACCTGTCAATCAAGCGATTACTGAAAGTACCGAGGTTAGAAAAGCAATTCGTTTTTGAACGTGTGGTGTGAATATGTATTGTCCTTACTGTGGATTAAAATATGGCGTCCTTCCAAATTTCTGCAATTCATGTGGAAAAAATCTCGAGGTTTTAAAAGAGACACGACAGAAAACGCCCATGCCAAAGAACGTGAGAGGTATGGCTAGATAGCATAGCTAGAACGTGTCTTGGTCTTGACTTGGATTTATAATACCAAGAAAGAATTTGAATATTAAGCAGTTAGTGTGTGAACAGCATTGATGTTTAGTTTCTTGCATAGATACAGGTGTAGGCTCAACACCTGCGCCCAATTTGCAACAGTTTTTGGAATACCGAAACCTGAAATCGAAGGAAAGAACGAACTTTTCCTTGGGAAAGAAAGGAGGAAGCAAACACGAGCAGAAGAAAGTACAGGTACAGTATAATTTTAAAATGGGTGTTAAGCGATTGTTTGTGAATGGCACTTTTGCTAAAGTGATACAGTTGTTTTTTGTTTTTGTTTTCTTACAGATTAATATCGGTATAATGTGTCTACAGAGTGGCTACTTAAAACCACAACGTGGGAAAACACTCCCCTTATTCATGGACCCACAAATAACTGCGAATGGTCTCCTCATGATGGCTGAAAAAAAAATGAAAGACTTCAATAAAGACATGGAGGAAGGACCCTACATACTTCTGTACCCCGATGGCTCTGAAGTCATTAATATTCCAGGGACACAAAGGCCCTTTACACTAAAATATTACAAAACAGAAATTGGAAAGCAATATTCAAGGATAAACTTGTTTATTTGCAGACAGAAAGACTTTATAGGTTAGTTAGCTAAAATTCATGCTTCAACTGTTTAAGCATAGTTAATTACCATGGTTTTGCTTTGTTCTGTGTCTTGCAGAACAGGTTCTCAGTTCAGAATCTGACTCCGAAGTTGTCATAAAAACCCGGAAAACTGATGAATCTAGCCTGGCTGACACACTGGTAAGATTAATATTCAATTGTTGAAAACTAAAAAAAACATTTTTTACGTTTTTATCAACTACATATATTGTTGTAATTATTATCATTCTTTCAGCCAATAATACCTCAGCATACAAGCACGCCACAAGACAGCATGAACAGTAAAATGTAAGATGTTTTCAATCTTGTCATGGCTCATGTTCGCTATAAAAGCAGAAGGAATTGGATATTGTGCATCTAATCTAAAGGGCTGTAAAACATCTGATTACATCTGTTCACAGTTTATATCTAATCCTTGTTGTTTGTGTGCTGTTTAGTGATTCTACCGTGGAACCGTCTCAAGGAAGTGGACAAGGACATGTAGAAGAGGTTAGTAGTAACCGTGGTTTGAACCCATTATTCAGACTAAAATTACCTGTAAATTGTTTTTCGGAGCTTATAGTTGTCTATTGTTGTGCTTTTAATAAGCCACTACACAAAAAATAATAGAAACTGCCAGCCACAATCCAATTAGAATCTGTTGTGTGATGCCTTGTATAAAATGACTCTAAGATACAGTTATATCATGATAGCTGTTGATGAAGCCTGATTTCTGTTTTAAGATAATGCTCTCAGACTCAGAGGATGACCGTCCAGGTACTTCCGCCCATGTTGCGACGCAGAACTGGTGTTACAGGTTTGTTTGGTTTATTAAATCTTTTGTCATGGAATTTGTACATTTTTACATTTGTGCATAATGATGATCTCTTATTTGTAGAAAATACATGGAGGTGTATGCGCCTGTGACTACTGAAGAAGACGATGAGCTTTTAATCACAGCACACGGTCTTGACCTCCCAGTACCAATAGAGTAAGCTAAAAAATATGTTGATTGGAGAATGTAAGTCTACAAATGCTGATTACATTGATAAAAAATACTTTTTACTCTCTTTAGGGAACAAAACAGTGTAACAGCTCCTGATATTATTTCAAATCTGGCCCTTGTTATTGATCGAAAAAGTGTCAGCAGATTCAACATAACGAGATCCAATGTGTGGGATGGGGCAGTCAGAGGATTTAAACGCGTCTCATACTCGGAATTCAATGACATGTTTGTGAAGTTCTCTGATGATGCTGGCTTGTTGGAAGAGGGTCTTGATACAGGGGGACCAAGAAGGGAACTTCTCACTTTACTAATGAGCTGCCTGCAGAATCGGCCCATTTTTGATGGACCTCCCAATAGACGCTACCTGGTATACAATTCAGTTGGTGAGTATTTAAGTTTTGTTTTGTAAAGGAGTTCAATAAAAATAATTGTGTGTGTTACAGACATTTTTCACTGTAACTGTTTTATTTAGTGTGTGATTTCGCTTTACTTTCTATGACAGCTGTTAGGGAGGATGAGTATTTCTTGGCAGGGAAAATGATTGCAGTGTCAATAGTGCATGGTGGACCAGGGCCCCATTTTCTTTCTAAAGACCTGGTAAACCACATTGTAGGCCAGCCCTCTTTCAGCGCCACTTTAGAAGATGTCACAGATGAGGGTGTAGTGAACGTGCTGCGAGAGCTATGGTAATAGACATGTTTTAGGTGATTAGTAAGGTTACTTAAATATGTATGACCCTAGAAATGATCAGTAGCAAGTGTAAAACAATTCTGCTTTTACGTATTTATTAAGTGGTGAATTATTTCACTTTCAATTCCGATGTGAAAAAAAAATCTTGGACATGAAAACCAATGTACTGTTGTTGATTTTGTTTTAAGATTCAGATTGCAACTACTTTGGAGTCACTACAAGAACTAATCTTGAAAAACAGCACGCTGCTCCAAAGTGCTGGGTGTTTTCGATGCGTGAAGAGCATTGAGGAGAAACACACAATTGTGGAAGAATACGTCAGGTGGTATGTGATAGACAGAAACCACAGTGTTATTAAAAGGTAAAATTGTAAAAAAAAAAAAAAATCATACACATTACAACATACCTATAGTCTTTCACAATGTTACTTTATTTCACTAAATTATTTACTGTTTATAGCATGAATATTACATTTTCTACAAGCCTGTGACTAAAACAGCCTAAACTCTTGACTGCTTTTATAGATTTAAAGATGGACTTGCCACACTGCTGTTTCTGACAGCACTTAAGCAGCATCCAAGTGTTTTGGCTTCTTACCTCTGCCACACTGACAAGAAGCTGACAGCGACCGATTTGGAAAGCCTCTTCAAAGCAGAACTCAGCCCAGTGGGTAGTAACCAGAGGCAAGAGGAATCCAAGATGCTTTGCTTTTGGTCAGACTATCTCCTAGACTGTAAAGGTTTGTTATTTGTAGTTTAACAAACAATGTTCTGTTTTCGGTTAATTTCAGAAATCTTTAGATCAATAGTTCACCCAAAAATAAAAATGTCAAAAAAAGTTCTCCTGCTCACTCATCTTGCAAGTTAGGGGTGGGGGAGAAATTAAATTATGAATAGTGTCTTCCAAAAATATAATAAGGGTTGTAATGAAATACGTTTATAATACTTCTGTCCCTTTTTTGAAGTTAAAGCTAGTAGATCTACTGTCGTTGTATGGACAAGAGCAAGCAATTTGTGTTCTGCTTTAGAAAGCAAGTCAAAGTAATTTTCAGGTTATTTAAAGGATTAGTTCACCTCAAAATGAAAACTTACCAATAATTTACTCACCCCAATGCCATCCAAGATATCCATGTCTGTCTTTCCTCAGTGGAAGAGAAAACAAGTTTTTTGAGGAAAACATTTCTGGATTTTTCTTAGAATAATGGACTTTAATGGCAACCAACGTTTTGAAGTCCAAATCAATGCAGTTTCAAAGATCTTTGTAGTGCTTCAGCGGCTGTGCACGATCCAGCTGAGGAGGAGGGGCTTATCTAGCGAAACGATAGGTCATTTTCTAAAAAATATATATACTTTTTAAATAAAATTGTTCGGATTGAGCTGATCTGCAACGCGCCGGGAACTACGTCATCACGTTGAAAGGTCATGCTCAAAAAAACTTCTAGGTTTTAAAAGATTTAAACACCCAGGATACGCACACAAGGACCATTTTTAGCAATAATATGACACAAAGACATAAATGTCATTCAACATTCAATACAATTTGAACTATCCTCCTTCGCACGGTCGCTTTGAAAGGAAAGAAAGACATGGATATCTTGGATAGCATTGGAGTGAGTAAATTATTAGGAAATTTTCATTGAGCTGAACTAATCCTTTAATTATGGAAAGAGTAACTTGACATTTCTTGCTTTTTTCAAAGTTCCATTTTTTTTTTTCATTTTGTCTTTGTAGAACATCAAACTGAAGTGCCACTGGAGAATGTGCTGATGTTTGCTACTGGCCTGACATCCCTTCCACCAGCTGGAATTACACCACAACCATGCATTGTGTTTCTTGCCAATTCACCGTTCCCAATGGCAAATACATGCTCAAACACACTTAAATTACCACTCTTAGACACATACAGTCATTTTCACACTCGCATGGATTTTGGAATACAGAATTCTCCAGGTTTTGGATGTTTTTAGAGGGTTAGTTCATTATGACACAAGGGACAGTTGAAACCAAAGAGTACAACCTAGGGTTAACTTATTTAAAAAGGAAACAATTCAAAACAGAATGTGACATTGCAAGAATTGTGAACTGAGAATATGGTACATGTAAATTGATCAAAGTTCACTTAAAGGGTTAATTCACCCAAACGGATATTTCTGTCATTTATTACTCGTTACATAAACGAGAACCAACCAGGAGTGAGGGAGAACACAGGGTATAAATACACTTAGAACGGATAATGAGAACAAGACACAGCTGGGGCAAATGAACTGATAATGACAGGTAGACAGGTGAAGGAACTGAGAACTAACGAGGAGCGGGAAAAGTGACACAGGATTAAACCAAATACACAGAGACGGGGGGAAACTCAGGACACACATGTAACAAATAGGTAACCAGTGCAGAGATGATAAAATCGGTGTTATATGATCATATTTTCTTGACCTAGTAAGAACTCTAGCTGCTGCATTTTGCACTAACTGTAGCTTGTTTATTGAGGATGCAGAACAACCAGCTAATAAGGCATTACAGTAATCTAGTCTCGAGGTCATGAATGCATGGACTAACTTTTCTGCATCAGAAACAGATAGCATGTTACGTAATTTAGCAATGTTTCTAAGGTGGAAAAAGGCAGTTCTTGTAACATATGAAATATGATTTTCGAAAGACAATTTGCGGTCTAGTATAACACCCAGGTCTTTTACTGTAGTCGATAAGGTAACAGGACATCCTTCTAAATTAAAGTTGTATTGTAAGAGATTTTGTGGGTAGTCTTTTGGACCAATAAGTAATACCTCCGTTTTATCTGGATTTAATAGCAGAAAATTACACGTCATCCAGCATTTTATATCTTTAAGACATTCTGTCAATTTAGATAAGTTAGTGTTTTCATCTGGTCGTGATGAAATGTATAATTGAGTGTCATCAGCATAGCAGTGGAAATTAATTCCATGTTTTCTTATAATATTACCAAGTGGCAGCATATATATTGAGAATAGCAGAGGGCCTAACACCGATCCTTGCGGCACTCCATAGTCTACTGACGTTATCTTCGATTTTTCCCCATTTAAACAGACAAAATGGTAACGGTCCGATAAGTACGATCTGAACCAGCTTAATGCCTGTCCCTGAACACCAGTGTAGTTTTGTAGTCGATCCAAGAGTATTTTATTTTCTATAGTGTCATTACATTGCCTTGCCTTATCTAGCCAAGGTGTAACCAATTGTAACAACTCGTACTGCACAAATGATTTTGTATTTTTGGTTTCACACCATTAAAGTTCTTAATGCAATGAATATTGTATTAATTTTATGTTACAAAAAGCTATTGTGTAATAAATATGAATGTGAGTATTATAATCAAATGTTTTATTAAATTCAGGTAACATCGTAAATAATGATTTTCTCGGGCTTAAAATTCATACAGATTTCCATTTATATGGCATTAAATTTCATCCTAGGTGGTAATAAAATTTAACTTGAAGAAACCTGGGGGTACCCTGCCAGATGATTTTGCCGTTTTCTCCTCTGCCTCTTTTTATTTGATTGCTTTGCCATCCTGCTGTCTTAACACTAATAAAGATTGACTGGTTAACCCTCTGGGGACCAGAAACGCGCCGGCGCGTTTTGCTGTTTTTTTTTTCACATAGCAGCAACATAGACTTAAAATACTCCGTCATTTATGGTCATATAAATAAAATCAATACATGATTATAAACTATAGAGGGTCTTCTTTTTTTGTGTACACTCACATTAACATCAAAACCGTGTGTTTTATTTTAAATAAATAAAATAAACAGGGTGCGCTTTCAGCTCACTCTGTCTCCGCAAAAATCTTTCTGAAACATGTCTGGAAAATGAACGGAAACTCCAATAATACTTATCACACAAACATGAAACATACCTCTAAAGAACGCTTTAAATTTCTACTTTTAAATAAAACAATTCACATTTAACCCTGTGGGGTCCAAGGTGTTTTTGGGGTCCTTGAGATGTTTTGACATACTCTGACATTTGTGCTTTTTTCAGTTGCTTATAAACATATTACTGGCAAAGGTGTAATTACACTCTATTTAGCACACACAGGGCTACCATAATGTGTTATCAACATGTATGTACATTTTTGTATTTTTGAGAGAATATTGTTTATGCGTGGTTATTGAAAAAACTAAAACTTAAAGTTTCTGAAATAATGCCACAAAACACATACTAAATATCTGTCCACAAGACTTTTGACTAATGGATGTTGTCGCTAGGCTTGGGAATCGGTTCCAGGTTCCGGTTTGGAACCGGTTCCAAACGTTCCGATCCATCGGAATCGTACACGTCCACACGTTAACGATTCCACTAACGATTCCGAATGTTCCGTTCCATCCATTCACGCGTCGCGGCATGACGTTACAGTATGCGACTGGATTTTTAAATCCCCCAAAAGCACGATGGCTACGAGACGATCGAGAGTGTGGCTTCATTTTAAATGCAGACCGGGGGAAGCAAATCTGGGTATCAGCTCCAATGACGGCATCAAAACAATGAAAGCATGGCGAAGCGGCTCTCCACGGCTCTGCTTTCGTCGGCGAAAAAGTTAAGAAACTCGACGCTATAAGCCCTCAGTACCGAGCCAAGCAGTTCGCATGTGACTTGTAGGCTATGCGGTGTGTTTCCCACACAAATACTCATTCGCGGCCACAAAATCAACTCCGGCTGCCACATATTGCGTTTCGTTCATTTTTTTATGCTATTTAAAACACGCAGCGTATTCTTTCCGTTGTATTTCCTTTCCCCGCTCTCCCTCCGTCTCTCTATCACTCACGCGTCTCTCTCACATACACGAGCACACACACACACACACACACCGCGCCGGACTGGACTAAGCGAAGCGAACTCCGCGAGCGACGAGAGAGAGACAGAGTGTGACTTTTATTTAAACTTATATAATATAATTTATTTTACTGGACAGTTTAAAGCTCATAACCATATGTTGTTGTTACTTGAAGAGTGCAGTGTCATGTGGCATCATGCAGTAGGCCTATTTGTCCTGAAAAGGCTACTCACTAAATGTCTGTAATTTAAGGTCATTTCTATTTTATTTGTATACATTTTAATCATTAACTTTAAAAGCACACTCTTTTTATGACTAAAATAACAGTAAAGGGTAAAAAAAAGGAAGTCCCAAAAATTAAAACGGAAAACGGAATTTGGGAAAAATAAAACGGAATTTGGGAAAAAATAAAACTGATTTCATAGGGCCCTAGATATTGCACACTTGGTTTTTCATTCTCTAAAACCACTTTAAATTAGACATTCAAAGCCAACAACTCTTAAAGCCACCCTGTAAGTGTTCAGCAAATGGTACAGGAATCGATATGGGAATCGATAAGGAATCGCATCGATAAGCAGACTCGACAATGGCATCGATATCGATAATTTCTTAACGATGCTCATCCCTAGTTGTCGCCTAGAGTTTTTTCTTCAAAATGATCTGAAAATCATCCTGCCTTATCATTCACATAAAACAATAGATTGGTTTAAATTTAAAAATGACACTTTTTGTTTGGAAAGGCAATATGCGCAGGGGTGCAATATGCGCATAATGGGGCTGCATACTAATGACCCTTTCATTCAGGTGTGTCACTGAGCCACAAGAATGCAATGACAATATATATATATATTGGAACGTAATCATCACGTTAATAGGGGCGCGGCTCATTGCAGGCGACCCGGTAGCAGGTGTTTGCGTTTGTTTGTTGTCCGTAAGCCTATATTGTTTACGTCTTTATGTTTAAACTACAACGTTTTATTTATTTATTTTTATTTTTGTTTATGTATGGGCGT